AGAATGTAAACAGAGTGCGAACCACCCATTGCCAGCCTAAGATAGCGCGGGGAAACATACTCCCTCGCAGGATGCAATATGGTATCTCGCAGCTGTTCCGGAAGCAAGTCCCACGCTTTGCTCGCCAGCACTGGTGGTCCACCCTGCCAAAATGTCATCCACCTAGGCACCTTCACAAATGTAAATGCAGAATCCTCATCGCAGATGGACACAGCTATTCGGTTGGATGTCAAAGCTCCTCCCCCGTCCATTCCCAGGTGTGCCCTTTGCGACGGGTCAGTCATCATTCATGTAGTTGGCTGCAACCTGCATGATCAGTTTTCTCTGTTGGGTTGGGTCTTTCTTTGGAACTGCTGACACCCCAGCCACTGCCCGGATGTTTTCCATTTTGTCCCATTCCCACAAGCGCTGAGCATCTGTTCTGGCCAAATATTTCAGGTATTCTTCTTCCGAGCCCCCAACGAACCCGTAGTGAGCCTCCAACTATTTGAACAATGCTTCTGACTTGCCTGCTGTGTCGATGACGTGCTCTTCTTTGCTGTAAAACAGTGCATCGTCTTGTGGCAACGCCTCAAGCATGTCCAAACATCCTGTATTGGATGGCTCAACCAAGCTCTCGGCTGAAAGAGGCACCTGTTTGACCTTCGTGAAGCTCATGTAGCCCTGATCATCAATGGGTTGCTTCAACAATGTCGCCACCGCTCGCGAAGTCTGGACGCCTGTCAAGCCGAGGCTCCGGCGTGCCCGTGCTGTAGCAGCAAAACTTTGGAGTAGACGCTGCAAAGCAAGAGACCTGGCAACCGTGGCCTTCACGTGGCCCAACTTCTGTGCTGCTTCAGGCGATGTCAGCTTGGTGCTCACCGCACCTTGTGCCAGAGCGTTCAACACCTTGACCAGCTGCGACGTGCCTCTCCAAACTTCAAATCTTCTCTTCTGTCTGGTGCGCAGTCTTGCTGACCTGTGCTGCTTATGTTCTGGTCGCTCCGGCAATGGCAAAGGAAACAAGGACCAGTCATCCAGTCCTCGTATGAATTCCGCCGCCTCCTCTTCCGTCATGTTGTCAGAGGCAGGAAAATTGACCCGCTTGTCCATGCTAGCGCCATCCCCCACAGGCGGATCAACCGTGGGGTTGGCGTCCTCTTGGGATCATCCTTGAGTCTTGGGAGGGTTGCCCCCGCGAGCTCCTTTTCCTCCACCCTTTGTTCCACCTCCACGGCCTCGGAATTTGCCGACATATTTGGTGTGTCCTCCTCCTCCAGTGCCATGTCCCCCATGATCTTGTCGGCTCATCTTGTTCCCCCTTTCTGAACGTTGCCATTCTAGCTTCGAATGGGCATTGGCATCGTCCAGAAGCCATTTGGGGGCTATATCAGCATTGGCACCAGGTGCACGGACTCCCAACATCCTGTTGGCTCCCGTTCTGTCCTTTGTTCGACGAAAGTAGATGAAGGACCCCAACTTCCTCAGGTGGATCTCCAGGGTATCTGACGTACCCAGCTTGGCCATCACTGCTGCTTCTGACCGACAACCTGCAAGTTCAAAATCAATGATGGTCGCCGCCATGAACAGGTCTTGGTAGCCCGGGCTCTGTTTCAACTCCAAGGTCGGGTGTTGATCGTTCACCCACTGCCTCACTGAGCTGCACCCCTCAGCCCTGATGTTGCGGTAAAGCTCCGGGGCTGCTCTCTGCAAATCTGCTGGGAGCTTGAGGTGCCATGCCATGTCCTCGGGGTTGGAGCCCTCTCCGATGTCTGCAACTCGGGCGAATGAACCTCCTGTACCATGTGGTGGACCACCGACTGTCTCAACCTCTTGTAAGGACCTCTTGAGTTCTTCTGCACGAGGAGGCCCTTTGGTTTCGTCACCCACATATCCGTGACTTTGCAGAAGGTTGATAATCTCTGGCTCATCTCTGGCTCAAGCTGGTATATCTCCTTCTCATTCTTGACTGCTTGCCAGAAGAGTGCCCCCCAGCCTGGTGTGGAATTCTGGAGGGCTGCTGCTTTGCTGATCGCATCTCTGATTCGCGCTGCTTGCGCCTGCAACTTTGAACTGGGCCCTGAGAGGCTGTAAGGTGCATAATGTTCACCTCCTGTAGCCACGGGTAGCATTGTCTGAGCCACTACCTCTGACACTGCCTCAGTGGGAACACTTTGAATCGTCAGGCCACTGTCGACTTCTATGGTATGCAGACCTGCACTGGTGTTCTTCACTGTTCCCTGTTGACCTGCTAGCAGCTGAAAAGGAGCCCTGTTCAACAACTGCACTCTTCTCAAGCCCGTTGTTTGCACTGACTGTTGGGCGCTGCCTGTCTGACCCGACTCTGTTCCCTGAGCGCCAACCCCAGCATTGCTCTGCAACGTCGGCAAGGGGGGTGCCCCAGGCGGTGGTGTGTCAAATGCATTTCGGCCGTCTGCACCTGCACCCAAACCTTGGGTGTTCAGTGTCTCTAGGGGCGGCATGTCTATCTCGATCGGCCACATCTGGCTTGGCTGTACTGCTACGTGAGGTCTTCCATGCTGTGGTGTGTTCAAGCTATGTAGGAACCAAGTTGCACCTGTATACCAAAGCACTGAACCCAATCCCAACAGTGAAGCACCGACAACTGACACATACACTCTGGTTCGTCCTGAGCGCACCCACGAATCGGCGGCCAGCATCAACAGACCTAAGGCTATGCACTTCCAATGAATGGTACTGAAACCACGCGGCTGTGCTGCTTCTGGTTCAACGAAGGTGATGGGAAGACCTGCTACAACCTCTGACCATGTCGAAAGGTCGCCAGTGACCAATGGGAAGGCCTCTGCAGCCTGTGTAACAGCTGCGATGTACAGGTTCCAAATCACATCCGAGCGAACTTCATTCGTCAAACCCTGCAACGACGGTTCAGCCGCCACCCAGCCAGCTATGGGCATGAGGCATCTTGTCATGCCTGACCGCTGTTGCGCCACTGTCGTGGCATCTCCATTGGTTCGAATGCGATTCCGAGTGGCCAGTAGCGTCTCTTCCAAGCCTCACGTCCCTAGTCGAACCTCCAGCTTGCACGATAGCAGTCAGGGCATCGGACAATGCCTGCTGGGAAATTGCCATGGAAGCAGCCTGCCGGTTAGAAAAGCATCAGCACGTCATGGTGCTGATGCCACCCTTGATCCCTGAAAGACTTGAGCCACTTAGCCGAATGAATTAAGTGCACTAGTTAGCGAGCGGGACTTTAGTCTTAGACCGCCCGGGTAGGAAGGACTAGGACAGGAGAAACAGAAGGAAAGACACCAACACACAAATGTGTTGAGTGCGACTTCCTTCTGTTACCCTACATAGCGGGTGGAATTAAAAGTCTGAATTCTCGCGCAAGGAGGGGGGGTTGTGTTGGCTCAGAGGCATTGCCGCAACCGGCGCTCCCTTGACTGAAAGGCACCTAAAACCTAAAGAAAGGCCTCCCCTGCATGTGTGGGACGGTTCATTCAAGGTGAATTAGGTTGCGCAACATCCTTGGATACAGGGGTTGACACACACACAAAAAGAAACAGCCGGGAGTAAGGCGCGCTCTCTTTTTTCGCGGGTGGGGGTGGGGGGGGAAGGGGAGTGCGTTGACTAAACGAGCCTGGGTGTCCACCTAACAAGCCTGAAAGAAAGAACAAGGCAAACGAAAAGGCAAGAAAAGAAGAGAAAGGTGCAAGGGGTGTGGGGGCGTAGGGTGGGGGTGTGTGGGTCCTTGCCCGAAAGCGTGACAAAAAGCCGTAGCCGGCACTCATTTGACTGAAAAAGCCTCCGTTACACCTAAAAAGATTCAAGAAAACGAAAAAAGGCTCAGAAAACGAAGAGCAACAGCAGGAAGGAAAGAACAGAAAATTTTAAGTGAATACTTAGCCGCATGTGTCCCGCCTCATGACATGTGTGCACATGTGACTACCTAGCAGTATGCGAGGATCCGGTCTCGAGTAAGCCCTGCGGCATTCGATCGGCCATCTCGTGCAAAACCGCAAGCTAGTGAGAATCCGAGAGAAGGTCACGGGAAGATAGAAGAAATGATCAGTGAGGGTCCCCCAAGTCTGGGTCTATGCACATGCTGCGCCCCTCGATGGGGATCACACCACACCCCTCAGTGGGACTCTGTGGCGATACACACTTAGATGGTTGCTCGAAAGAGCTAGGATCAGTACGAAGTCCCCCTTGACTGGAGGCCGAAAGGCGAGGAAGTCCGTAGATTTGAAGGTGTTTAACAAGTTGTTTTGGTGCATTAGCGGCTTACTGCAAAACACAGAAGTGGACAGCTTGTTAACAGTTCAAAAATATACAGCAGCGTGGTGCTCGCAAGAGCTGAGTCAGTGAATGAAACTCCACTTTAGCGATTACATAACCAGTGCAGTAGACCTTGACTTGCAAACGGTAAGGTGCATGGGTCCGCAAAGAACAGACATGTTGTAACATCTAGCGATTACAATGCCGGTGCAGTAGACCTTGACTCGCAAACGGTAAGGTGAAAAGGTCCGCGACAACTGAAGTGTTTCAACATCTGCATGTTTCATGGTTAAACAGTTTTTAAGAATGCAGGTACGTTTGCACGTGTCCCAGAGGAGGTCTTCGTTGGGACTTTAAAATTTGGTTTTGAAACCATTTACAATGTGTGCGGCCTTGGAAACAGGCTTTGACACAACAATCTCTGAACATATTTCACATCTCTACATACTGCTGAGGTGAACCCTTTCGATAGTTGCTCAAATGAATAGTGCAAGTGCTTCTGCAAGGAAGCTCCCCCTGCCCTCAGGCGGGGGGAGTTTCCTTGAAGAAGCGTAAGCTATCCTGCGTCCTAGGTAGGAGCGTCCAGTACCTAATAGCTGACAACTAGTAGCCTATACCTCTTCCTCTTAGCAGCCTACCCCCCACCCCCGGGCTAAAAGAAAAACGAAAATTCGAAACGGCTGGCCGTTCGCTTGTATCGCTTGGACGTTTTTTGCCTTCCAACTCCAGCGCTGGAAACGTCTCCACCCATGTCATGTCGCCTGCCGGCATGGCTGCCCAGTCATGCCACTGGGACCAGCCTGCAGGACAGTGAGATAAGTTGAGAGCCACAAGAATCAAGCAAAAGGCGTTTGTCCATACAGACTCTTGGTACAAAACACGCTTGAACTTGCGTGGGAGAAAAGGAAAGCGGGAACCCTGCGAGTCCAAACAGGCCTCAGTTTGAGGCCTAAAGAAAACACAAGGGAATCCTGAAATCCCACGGACTGCAAGATTGATCATCCTCTACGCAAACCTGTGCTCGAAAATGATATGATTAGTTGATCCATACTGCACATTGGCACCTTCCATGTTCCGAGGCTTTGCCTACAGCTGCGATGAGCTCTCGCTCGTGCTTGTCCTATTTCTCCTTGAACCGCTTTTGCACAAAGGACAAGCTCTCAACCACATTGAAATCCGCTTCTCAGTTTTGGGCTGTCTGTGGGCTTCGCATAGAGGAGCTTGCATTGAAAATCAAGCAAGGACAAAGGAAACAAAGCTTGGCCATCAGATATGTTGCGAATGTGTGCTCAGGAAGCTGTCTTGTTCGAACGAGATACAGTGTAACCCCCAGCAATCAACCAGGCCTCCGCATGAGGGATCCGATGCATCTCTCGATCTCCATCCAAGCTCCCTGCAAGACAGACCAAAAATTCTCGATATACTAAGGAGTTCACAGCCAAAACCCAACCGCAAGGGTAAAAAAGAAACGTCAAAGAAACCACTAATTCTGTACACATCTTAAGTAAACGTTATGTCCTTGCAGGGGTCATCTACATTTCATGACCTTTCACTCTTGGGAGCAACTCTGCCAAAACTGAAACAGGTGTTGACAAACATTAAGCAATTGTTTAGGTCGGTTTCGTAAGAGTCATTGCCACAAAAGGGCTAGTAACCAGGACGCTATTAGGGGTCGTGGCATCGCTACTAGGAGCACGGACGCTACTAGGGGCTCCTGGCCGTACTACAAGGAACAAGAAGCTGGGGCTAGCTAGAGTCTTTTGAACTGAGCTTTGCGAACTGCAGCAAACCGTCAAACCTCTGTGCGCCGTCTCCAACTTGGCATGTCCGGCCATGGTGCTTGCTTTTGAGTCCTTGCATGACCTTGTCCAAGCTTGAGGTTGTCAAACGAGCAGCTCATGCCTCAAAACCAAAAGCTTGAGGGTGTGATGATCAGTGATGATACTGCCAGCGGCTCGTAAGGAAGTGCTTCTGCGAAGAAGAACCTGACTTAAACAAAAGACGTGCTGCTATGGCACCGAGTGATTGACAAATACTTACAAAAACATCTCGGGAGGTGTTCAGCACGTAAGAATTTAGCAGATCTGGCAACACAAGGATGGAATGTCCACCCATTCTGCTGATGCAATCAAGTCTTCTTGACCCTATCGGCAGCCAGGCAGAACACCTGACTCGAAAGATTTTGGACTTTGAACCAGAAGGTCAGCGCGCAATTAGCCTGTTTACCGGAAGACTAGCAGTATGTCCCGGATCTCTTCTGGAGCTGCAGTAGAACCAGTGGAGGCGTGCTTGAGGGTGGGCTGGTCCATCAGTCCATTAACAGCCAATAACAATGTGTCCTAGACCAAGTGCACTGAAATCGTTTATGCAAATTTTTAAAGTGCCCTCTCTTCTTTCGTTCAACCTTATGTTGAAACGGCGGCGGCAGCTTTGCTGCCACTTGGGAACAATCACTGTTGCAAGGCGCTGACAACAAAAGCATCTTTCTATCACGCTAATCTGCTAACTGCATGCCCGAGAGATCTTGCATCCTTGCATAAGCTCAAAATCATTAGGAACTATAAGGAGACACACCCACCTTTGGATAGTCACCATGGCGACCTGCGCGCTTCCATGCAGCACCAATGAGAGTGGTGAGTCAGGAAGTGAAGGTGCAGAAACTGAGGATTCCAAGTCTGAAGGCCAGGTCCAGTGCATGTCATTCTGACGAAAGGCTGTTTGGCCCTTCCTTTAAGCTTTATTGTTCGAGTTTGCATATTGAAATCGTGACTGAATCACAGTATATATGCCAAAAGAATACAAACAACGTCAGCTTTACAAAATAAATAAATAAAAACAAAAACAATCTCATGAACCCTGTGAAACAGGAATGCGAGAGTAGAGAGAGAGAGATAAAAAATATATTCTATATATATATATGAAAAAAACTACAAGTACGCTAAAAGAAAGAAAGGAAAACATAAGGTGAAGGTCCTCATCTCACTCTGCCCCACCGGGCCCCCTCCAAAGGCCACAGCTGCCGCACGCATGAGCTGGGAGGCAAAGTCTGGTGCCTAGTGTGGCGAACGTTGTCATTGGACTGGCAGCTTGATGTCTTGGGGGGAGCAGCTAGGCAGATTGGGCTGGCAAACATCGGAATTGTCTCAGCGGCGTGGCAAAAAGAGTTGAACAAGTTAAGGAGATGCTTTCGTACGCAGCATTAACTGGCTCATGTGTTGACAGTTCTCCAGAGTTGTCCGCTTTGCTTGATGGTTTCGCACATGATTGTTTTTCCCGAATGCGTAGCGAAGGGTTCTCGTTTAACTCTGGGGGTCTGGGGGTAAAGCCTTGTTCGCGACCCGTTGTCTCAGCGATCGCAGCCGTTGTCAACCGTTCGCAGCCGTTGTCAACCGCTTGCAACTGTCCGCGGTAGGGCGCTAAGGCGCTGCCATTGGGGGAAGCTTTTGGAGAGGGATTCGGATGGAAAAGTGACGTGTCAGATTCGTGTGAAATAGTGAGGAATCGTATGGAAACGTAAGGTGTTGAAGTGTGGAGGATGATTTCACTGCGCAGGCGCAGCGTTTTGTGAGATTCGCTGTTTTCTGCGCAGTCACATTGGGATTAGCGTTTGGGGAGTGGTGTCTTTGGGGTGTTGGATGTGGCTGTGCCATCATCCCAAAGGTGTGGTGCGGTGCAAATTTTGTTGAAGCTCACATGATATGATATTGTCACTTTTCGTGGCAAGTGCAGTACTTTGTGGGGTTTTGAGGTGTGGAAGTGCGAGTTTCGTGGCAGGCGCAGGGAATCGTGAGGTTGCGAGGTGTGGCGCCTCCGCGGCGCAGTACTTTGTGCGTGATAGACGCGTGGACACGTAATGTCGCTGTGACATTGGGATTGGCGTGCGCGCAGGCGTTGTTCGGAGGGGCTGGAATCGCGAAAATGCTTGGCAGGGCTGCTTGATGTGTGTGCTCCGATGGTGCTTCCCGCTTGAAAATGCTCGTTTTGGAGATTTTGACGTGTGAGTTTTGGAGGACGTCTCGTGCGAAATGCTCGTTTTGGAGACTTGACGCGTGACTTTTGAAGGAAGTCTCGTATGAAACACTTGTTTTGCAGACTCGAAGTATGAGTTTTTGAGGAAGTCTCGTACGAAATGCTCGTTTTGGAGGATTGATGGGTGACCTTTGGAAGAAGTCTCGTACGAAATGCTCGCTTTGTGGACTTGAAGTATGACTTTTGGAGGAAGTCTCGTACAAAACGGTTGACTTTTGGAGACTTTAGTAGTCCCCCACAAGAGTGTCCCACAAGAGTGTCCTACACTACACTGTCCTACACAGTCCGACAGGAGCGTCCTACAAGAGTCCACAAGAGTGTCTGACAAGAGTGTGTCTCGCAAGAGCGACGCGCAAGAGTGTCCCACAAGAGTGTCCAACAAGAGTGTTTTTGGCAAGAGTGCGCCGCTAGAGTGCCCCGCAAGAGTGTCATACGAGAGTGGCCAACAAGTGTCCTACAAGAGCGCCCCACAAAAGTGCGCTATAGAAGAGTGTCCCACAAAATTCCACAAAAGTGTCCCACAAGAGCGGCGGACAAGATTGTCCTACGAGAGAGTCCCACAAGAGTGCCCGCAAGAGTGTCCGACAAGAGTGTCCTACAAGAGTGTCCCACAAGAGTGTCCTACAAGAATGTCCCACAAGAGCGTGTGTCCCGCGACAATGCCTTACAAGAGTGTCCCACAAGAGTGTCCTAGAAGAGTGTCCCGAGAGTGTTCCACAAGAGTGTCCGACAAGAGTGTCCTAGGAGAGTGTTCCGCGAGAGTGCCCCACAAGAGTGTCCGACAAGAGTCTCCTACGAGAGTGTGACATACAAGAGTGTCCCACAAGAGTGCCCCGCAAGAGCGTCGCAAAAGAATGTTCCAGAAGAGTGTCCTACGAGAGTGTCCCACAAGTCCCGCAAGAGTGTCCCACAAGAATGCCATACAAGAGTGTCCCACAAGAGTGTCCTAGAAGACTGTCCCACGAGAGTGTTCCACAAGAGTGTCCTACAAGAGTGCTCCGCAAGAGTGCCCGACAAGAGTGTCCGACAAGAGCGTCCTACGAGAGTGTCCCACAAGAGTGACATACAAGAGTAGCCCACAAGAGTGTCCCGCAAGAGTGCCCCACAAGAATGTCCTACAAGAGTGCCCCACAAGAGTCATGTCCTACAAGGGTGTCCCACAAGAATCCAACAAGAGTGTCCCACAAGACTGTCCTTCAAGAGAGCTCCGCAAGAGTGTCCCACAAGAGTGTCCGACAAGAGTGTTCCGCAAGAGTGCCTCACAATGTGTGTCACAAGAGCGACGCGCAAGAGTGTCCCACAAGAGCGTCCAACAAGGTCCAACAAGAGCTTTTTTGGCAAGAGCGTCCTGCAAGTAGAGTGTTCCGCCAGAGTGCCCAGCAAGAGTGAGTGTCATACAAGAGTGTTCCACAAGAATGACAAACAAGAGTGCCCCGCAAGAGTGTCCCACGAGAGTGTCCGACAAGGTTGTCCTACGAGAGTGTCCCACAAGAGTGTCCTACAAGAATGTCCCACAAGAGTGACATACAAGAGTGCCCCACAAGAGTGTCCTACAAGAGTGTCCCGCAAGAGTGTCCCATAAGAGTGTCCAACAAGAGTGTTTTTCTGCAAGAGTGCCCCCACAAGAGTGTCCTACTAGAGAGTTCCTCACGAGTGTCCCACAAGACTGTCCTGCGAGAGTGTCCCGCCAGAGTGACATACAAGAGTGTCCCGGGCCCCACAACAGTGTCCTAGAAGAGTGTCCCACGAGAGTGTTCCACAAGAGTGTCCTACAAGAGTGACATACAAGAGTGTCCCGCAAGAGTGCCCCGCAAGAGCGAGCGTCATACAAGAGTGTCCCACAAGACTATCCCGAAAGAATGTCCGACAAGAGTGTCCTACAAGAGTGCTCCGCAAGAGCGTCCCACAAGAGTGTCCTAGAAGAGTGTTCCGCAAGAGTGCCCCACAAGAGTGAGTGTCATACAAGGTGTCCCACTAGAGTGCACAACAGTGTCCGACAAAGGTGTCCGAACAGAATGTGTCCTACAAGAGTGTCCCACAAAGTGTCTCCTACAAGAGTGTCAAAAATTGTTTGGGTGTTTGTTTTCGAGTACGTGTTTGCATTCGGGTTCGTGGGTTCCATCTTGTTTCTTTTGGATCTTCAATTTGTATCTTGCACTTGCTTGACCGACCAACCTCCGCAAACCCAACCTCCAGGGTTTTCACGGCCATGAGCTGAGCCCTGAATGTGACAACTTGAGTTTGACATGAGGAAAACGAGCCAAACCAGACCTGACCAAAACTAACAAGCAGCTTACAACAAATTTGCTTGCTTGTCTCGTTTGCTTCGACCATTTTGGAACCCTGCTTGCATGTTTTTTGCCCAGCCTAAGACTTGCGCAACGATCCAAAAAGTTCTTCAACCAAGCGATCTGCTCTGCGGAATCCTCGACGCAGCAACGCAGCTCCCAAATGCCCACCAAATTGCCAT